CGATTCCCTGTTAACGTGGGATATCAGTTCTGCCTCGCATTTCCCACTTGAGGTGAGGCTCACTGCAAACAACGCCTTGGGCCATCTCAGCACCATCAGTGGACTGAAAAGGGGGCTATTAATATTCTCTGAAAGCCATAATCGGAATGCTCAGAGGGACCTGGATAAGAAGAGTGGGCCTGGCTATTGTCTGTCATGCAGGGTTTTGTCTTGTACTGTTCAGAAACCTGCCCCCCTTCTCCCCACCCTTGCTTCTTGAATGAAGTGCTTTTGAGGTTATTTATGAAGGGAGTGATCCTGGGGCAGGCAGGAGGCAGTGGGCTTTATGGCTCTTTGGAGTTACTATCGATCTTGACCTTCTCTTTGGCTACCTTTAGACAAAGAATATGCCAATACTTGGGGCTCTAATTTTACAACTCATATTTATTTGTATCATCTCTTTGTCTAGGAATGTAAAAGTGATTCTAAACTAAGATGTGTAATAAAAATCAATCAGATTTATTGTACTTACAAAAAGGTGTCCTCATAAATGACTAACGTTTTTGAAAATGACTTGCCTGTGGCTGACACACTGACAATTTCTCTAAACATTTGAATTTTTCTAGTGAAAGGAGGGTGGGAATGGAAAATGAAGATTGAGTTGGAATGTTGGCATTTTAAAAATATAGCAATGAGGTAAAGGGACATGAAATGAAGAAAGAGTGACAAGTGCTTCTCGTGTTTTGCCATGAAGGTTCCTGAGACAGGCAGGAAATTTCTTTTAATTTCTGTGTTTTGTTTTTTATGTTTCTTTAAATTTATTACATATTATACTTTAAAATATATATCTTTTTTTAACACAGAAATATTTCATGTTATTTACCATCAAGAAAAAAAATACCAGAAATGGGTCACTTGTTGGTCTCATGGTTTCTCATATGCTCAGGCCTGCTGGCGTGTCCCTCTGGGGGTCATATACCCTGTCTGTGGAGTGGGGACTCAGCAGAAGGAGCTCAGACCGTGGACTCCGAGCTGGGCTTGAATGCTGGTTGTGCCTCTGCTTACTAGTTGTGTGACTATGAGGAATTTAGTTTACCTCTCTGAACCTTGGCGTCCTTGTCTGTAAAATAGGGCCAATAATCCCCGCCTGGCAGGGCCATTGTGGAGGATTAGCATTACATTTAAAGCAACAAGTACTCAAGTATGTGGATGAGAGCAGACATTTGAAAATGTGGTTATTAGGAATTCCCTGGTGGTCCAGTGAATAGGACTCCCTGCTTTCACTGCCGTGGTCTGGGTTCAATCCCTGGTCGGGGAACTAAGAGCCCACAAGCCACGCAGTATGGCCAAAAAATAATAAAATATGGTTATTGCTGTGACAGGACCCTGTGTTCAGAAGACACCATGAACAATTTGTATCCTAAGAAACTAGAAGCTAGTACTGGGCATATTATGTTTAGAAAACCCTAGGCCTCTGTAGAAAAGCTGCTCATCACTTACAAATACATATTGAGTACCTACTATGTGCCATGCTGTTCTGGGCACTGGATATAGAGATGTGAGCAACATGGTCCCTGCCTGCATGGAGCTTGTGCTTTAATGGGGAGGGAGGCAGGGTAAATGGTAACCTAATGCACACAAAAGTAGAATTACAAATCATGACAAATGCCGTAAAGTGATATTATAAGACATTATGAGAGAGTAACAGGGGCCTAATTTGGATTGGGCGAGTAAAGAAGGGAAGGGCTTTCTGGAGAAATGGCATAAAGTGAGATTTAGAGGACAAGGAGTTATCTGGACAAGAAAGTAAGGAAGGGAATTTGTTTAAAGAGGGAACAGGGCTTCCCTGGTGGCGCAGTGGTTGAGAATCTGCCTGCCAATGCAGGGGATGCGGGTTCGAGCCCTGGTCTGGGAAGATCCCACATGCCGCGGAGCAACTAAGCCCGTGCGCCACAACTACTGAGCCTGCGCGTCTGGAGCCTGTGCTCCGCAACAAGAGAAGGCCGCGACAGTGAGAGGCCCGCGCACCGCGATGAAGTGTGGTCCCCGCTCGCCGCAACTAGAGGAAGCCCTCTCACAGAAACGAAGACCCAACACAGCCAAAAATAAATAAATTTATTTAAAAAAAAAAAAAAAAAGAGGGAACAGCGTTTGTGAAGGCCTCATGTAACAGACAAGTAGAATTTCACAGGAAGTTATCTGCAGTCCTTTTTTACCCTCACTAGGGGGAAGCATGGAGAACTACTATAGAATAGAATTTAGTAGAGGACTTTAAAAATATATATACCAACAAGAAATGTGAAGAGCACAGAGAAGACGGTGGCCTATAAGCAAATGATTCTTAACTCTTCATAAGATGGCCTCAAACTATGTGTAATGTCCCTATAGCCCCCTTTCTTTCCAAAATGAGTTAGCTTAGCTTAGCTTGTATAATTATTGGTTGAGAACAGATCAAAACTCATTAGCCAGAAAGCAAGGGTTCAGAGTGTGATTTGAAGAATTCTGAGTGTGTTCTTGAAAGTGGCAGAAATCTGGGTGGGTCAGGGGCTATATATCAGGGGAGGTACAGGGCAACTGGGAAATTCCTGCTGACTCACCAAGTTGTCTTCTCATCTTCCGGGTTGTTTAAAAAAAAAAAAAAAATCAAGAAACTACTCAAACCTTCTGTGATGTAGTAAGAAATATATAGGGTCTTTATCCCCCCAAAACTTTACAACTCTCGAAATTTCCTGAGTGATAAGAGTATCTTTTGGTATTCCTAACAAGCCCCTTTCAACCATACCTGAGCTTATGCTAATAAAATGACCCATGGATAACTTCAGGATGGAGGCTGGTTGCCAGAGGAACGGATCATGTGATTAGTGTCGGAACTTTCCTGATCTCCCTCCTGATCTCCAGGGAGGGGAGAGGAACTGTAGGTTGAGTTAATCACCAATAGTCAATAATTCAGTCAATCGTGCCTACCTAATGGAACCTCCATAAAAGCCCCTAAATGATGGGGGTTTGGAGCGCTTCCAGGTTGGCGAACGCATGAAGGTGCTGGGAGGATGGCATGCCCGAAAAGGGCAGGGAGGCTCCGCGCTCTTCCCCCAACCTTGCACTATGCATTTCTTCCATTTGGGTGTTCCTGAGTTGCATCCTTTATAGTAAACCGGTAATAGTAGCTACAGTGCTTTCCTGAGTTCCGTGAGCCATTCATTCTAGTAATTATTTAACCTGAGGACAGGACTGTGGAAACCCTCAACAGTTATAGCTGGTTGGTCAGAGGTACAAGTGGCAACCTGGGACTTTGGACTAGCATCTGAAGTGGGGGCAGTCTTGTGGGACCAAGTCCTGAAATACTGGGAGTTAGTGTCAGTACTGAATTGAATTGTAGGACACCCACTTGGTGTCTGGAGAATCAGAGACTTAATTATCGGGTGGAGGGAAAAAACGCATACATTTCATCATCAGCAGTACTGTGAATAAAAACAGTTGACCTTGGAAACTGTTTTGAACTTCACACTGGTATTTTGTCTCAGGGCGCGTGATTTTGGCAGGTCCTTTTGTACTAGAGTTGCCATCTGATTGAATTTTACCCTGAGAATCTGGTCTCCAAGGACTATGCGGTGGTCACATCTGCCAACTGGGTTGTCGGTGGCATTTATCAAGGACGTAACTGTAGCTCTCACAGCTGCTCCTGTTTCATCCTCTGTTTCTATCAGCAGCCTGTGGTAAACCGTCCCCGGTGCTTCGGTTAGGCGAGCTGACTGGGGACTGGCTTTTGGGGCGGGGCAACGGGCAGAGAGAGAAGTGGCTCACCCGCATGGCTGGGGACAGTGCAGCCCACAGGAACTTGTTGAATGCTCGTTGAGTGCCAGGTGTCTTGCTCTGCACTGGAGACCGAGAGGAGTGAAATGCTCTCCAGCCCTTCTGAGGCGGGGAGAGACAAAAACACCGAAGGACGGGGATTCAGAGTGGTTAGGACCTCCGAGAAGGCCAGCCTCCTCTCCTCCCGCTGCGCTCCCGGGCCTCCTTTTGGTTCTGGGTTATGCCAAGCGCTTTCATGCCGTGACACCTTCACATGTGCTGTGCCCTCTCTCTGGAAATTTCTCTCCACTCTTTGCTTGGCTCACTCGTACTCATTGATCAGGTACCAGTTTAATGTCATCTCTTCCAAGAAGCCTTCCCCAACCACGCATTCTGGTTTCCCCCCATCTCCACCTGGCTGTGTGGTGTCTCTCACTAAAGAAACCGTGCTTCCTTCTTAGCCCTTTCCCCAACTTGCGATGAATGTATTTCTTTACGTTGGTCTCCCCCAATTAGACAATAAGTTCCCTGAGGGCATGTCCTGTTGTCTTCTTAGGTTTGACACTTAGATGGATCAGCTAGTTGGGTCGGTGCTGACACCCACAGCTCAGGACAGAGTGTTTTCTGTCAGAGGAAGGAGTGATAGGACAGGAGAGGTGGAGGAAGGCTTCACAGAGGAGGCCGCATTTGAGCGGTGCTCCTGAATATTGGGTAGGGTTTCACTCGCCTGAGAGGAGGGAAGGACATGCCAGACGAAGGCAGCGGCATGAACGAGACACGGGGCTCATGCTGGGGAACCCGAGGCCTGGAGTGCTGGGAGTGGAGAGTGAGAAGAGGTTCAACTCCAGGGCACAGCCTGTAGCTAGAGGGGCAGCCCTCGGAGGCTTTTGGGGGTGTTTATCGGGGGCGGGGGTGACGCCCAGCCCTATTTATTGCACTCCAGCATTTTCTCCTTAAGCCAGCCTCTCATGCTACTATTTCTCTCTGAGATAACAGGAAGCAGTTTCACTAAGTGCTGCTTTAAGTTTGCCTGCTGTTCACACAGGTTTTCTGGGCTCGGTTGGCAAATTCCATTCTGCAAGGAGCTTTCCCTGGCACAGCTCAGAACCCAAGGCATTCCAAGGGTTGACTGTGGCTTGGTTCCCTAGGAATGGGGCTGAGGCATTTTTCAGGGTAGCAGAATGAAAGTGGTTCCTTTGCTACGTTTAGGAACAGAGAAATTAAACTTCTGCCACTGGTTTTGAAATTTATCTTCTTTGGCCAGTGAACAAAAGATTTACATAATGCTGTTCAAACTCTGTGCCACATGTCATGGGCTACATATGGCTCAGGGCTTCCGGAGCTCCCATTCTGGTAGGGAGGTATCGTCATTCACAAATATGTACAATTCGAAGTGATCAGTGGCTCAGATCCGGTGCTCAGAGCGTGCTTGGGGGCGGGGGGCGCAGATTTCCGTGAGGGGTGTGTTCAATGCAGGGATCCCTCGTCTTTGCTTGGTTGTCCTGGGGCAGTGAGAAGAGCCAGGGCTTTAGCACCAGATTCCTGTCTTCATTTTTTTGAGTACCTACTATGTTGTGGGCCTCACTCTAGTCCTCGGGGTCCAGGATGAAGCTCCTGCTCCCAGGGCTGGCACATTCTAGTGGGGGAGACAGATGGGTAACAAAAAGGAATGGACTGTCAGGTGGTCAGAGGTGCCCTGAAGGACAGCAAGGCAGGGCAGGGGTTAGAGAGTGAAGAGCTGGGGGTGGTGGCTGGGTTAGGTTGGGAGGTTGGGAGGTCGGCCGGGGCTTCTCTGCGGTGGTGACAGGTTCTATTCGAGCAGAGGCCTGAGTGAAACTGGGGAGCAAGCGTGTAGGTATCTGGTACTGGGAGGAAGAGTATTGCAGGGAAATGGAACCACAGTGTAGAGGCCTGGTGGTGGGGCTGTGTTTGGGGACAGCAAAGTGTGGCTAGTAGGCAGTGTGGTTCGACAGGTGGTGGGGGACCAAGGCTGAATTGTAAGTGAATTTTATTTTTAGACCATTGGAGGCTTTTAAGCAAAAGAGGTGGAGAGTAAGAGAGGGAAATCCGACAGGAATGGTTAAAAGGATTCCTCTGGCTGCTCTGTGAGAACAGAGCAGAGGGAACAAGGGGAGAGGAAGGAGGCCGCCTGGAAGGGGAGTGGTGGCTGGGAGGAGAGGTGGTGGCTTGGACCAGGCAGTGGGAGCGGTGGAGAGAAGTGGTAAGATGTCTTAAGATGCATGCTGATTGCTGATAACTGTATGTGAGAGGTGAGAGAAAAAGAAGAGGCAACAGTAGCTCCAAAGTTTTTGATCTGAAGCTGGTGAAAATTCCACCTCTGCCACTTCCTTCCATGTGCCCCCCAGCCCGCTTTTAAGATAAAAGGCTTTATTAAGATATAATTCACCTACCACACAATTTGCCCATTAAAGTGTATAATTTATTGCTTTTTAGTATATTCACCTAGCTGTGCAATCATCGCCACCACCAATTTTAAAACATTTTCGTCACCCCCAAAAGTACCCATTGACTGCCACTCCCCATTTCCTCCCAACCCCACAGCCCTAGGCAACCCACTAATGTACTCTCTATCTCATCTGCCTGGTGCTTTTAGGGTCTGGGAACTCCCCGTTTCCTCATCTGTAACTTCACAGGGTGATTATGAGGTTGGAAAGAGAACGTGAAAAGAATACAGGAGAGCATGCCTAACAGGCCAGGCCGAGTGGCCTTGGCCTTAGTAAGTGCTCCAGAAATCCCAGCCCTCCCCCACTGCTCTGACTCCTGCTTTGCCATCTTACGAAGGCAGCGTGGGCAGTGGTGAAACGCGTAGGCACTGGACCCAGACTGCTGGATTGTGAATTCTGAACTCACCATTGACTAGTTGTATGATTATTGCAAAGTTTTTTTTAACCTCCCTGGGGCTTCAGATTCCTCAACTACCAGAAAGGCATCATAGCAAGTACTTCCTAAGTTGCTCTGAGTCAAAATGTGTGAAGCACTGGGAACAGTGCCTGGCCTGTAGCAAGTACTCAGTGAGTGGGCAGTGTTGCTCAATGAGTGGTTGTCATTATTAGTCAAGTAAGGAGCAGGCAGGTGGTGGCTCCCAACGTCAAGGCCGGAAATGGACATTTCTGAATCCAGGCTGTTGCAGAGGTAATGGAGAGAGAGAGAGAGAGAGAGAGAGAGAGAGAGACACCACGGATGTACTTTTAGTCTTGTCCTTTTGTTGGATCTATACCTTTGGAAAAGTCACGTGTCCCCTCTAAGCCTCAGGTTGCTCATCTGTAAAGTGGGGATGAAAAGTCCTCCTTACCTTGTGGAGCTCTGTGGAGGATTCAGTAATGTATTCAGCAGTAAGTACTGTTTTGAACACAACAGGAAAAAATCCCTGCTCCCCTAGAGCTTGTGTGGAGCTAGTGGAGAGAGACAAAGTAAATATTAATCATAAAGACAATAATAATCATAATAAATAGAATACATGAATAAGAAAGCAGATGTGTAAAGCACCTGGTGCCTGGCATGTGGCGAGCATTCTGTCAACAGTAGCTGTTATGATTATTATATGAAAGCACTTTGTAAAGCTGGACAGCACTGCATGGAGGTGGGTCTCCAGGTGACTTTGTGAGCATGTTGCCTTCATCTAAGCCTACCCTCATCTCCGCTCAATTAAATTTCACTCAGCCTCCAAGGCCCCTTTTGAGTTGCCTGGTTGAAATCTTTGTCTCTCATGGTAGAGTTTTCTTTTTTCCTCCCTTCAGCTGGCACTTACTGAATGCCACTTTGGGCCAGTCCTGCTGCTGGATGCTGGGGCTTCTATGTTGAAAAACCCAGGAGGGGTGTGGTCAGGAGTGTGAATGGAGGGAGCCCAGGGCACTCTGGGCTAGACTGTGTAGGAGCCTGGCTGCCTTGGTTTTAGTCTGTCCAGGGAGACCCCAAGGCTTCTGAGCTGAGTGATAAAATTAGCAGATAAACTAAGACTTCACGACATTCTTGTTTAAATACTGCATGGTAAAAGAAAACATTTGCATTATGGTCAAATACATAATCTCTATTTAAGCACTATAATCTATCCAAAGAGTTACAAGATGGAGATGCAAGGACATGTAGAAGAGCAAAGACCTCGGGGCAAACAATGTCTCAAGGTGAAGACAGTATTCTACCAGATCAACAGGAAATGTGGCAAAACGGAGCAGGGAGGTTTTGGAGCTAGATAAACCTGGGTTAGCACTTATTGCCCGAAGCAAGCTATTGCACCTTGGTAGGAGGGTTAATACCCACCCCGCTGCTCTCAAGAGTTGCTGGAAGGATGAAAGAAAACATCCATCAAGGATCCGTCACTTCATAGGCATACAATAAGAGGCATATGTTATTAAATATTAATAGCACTATTAATTATTAGTAACAGTGCAGCATTATGGAAAGAGCTCTTGTGTCAGCCAGACCTGTGTGCAAATCCTGATACTTCCATTGCAAGTTGCTTAACCTTTCTGAGCCTTGGATTGTGTCCCTTCCTGTAAAATGAATGAATAATACCTTCCTTGTAGGGTTGATATATGTTGATATATGATAAATGTGATAATATAAATTTCCTAGGTTGTATAATAAGTGTTAAATGCTATTTCAAAATCAAAATATAGCAAGCTTTATTCAATATTCTGATTATAAAAATTATATATTCTGATGGTAAAACATTCAAACAATACAAAAACACTTAAAGGAGTAATTACAAATCACTGGAAATTCTATTTCTTATAGCTGATAGCCAGTTTTTTAGATATCTCTTTATGCAAACTCTTTTAGTTCGACCTTCATTATATATATGGGTCCATAGTACACACCTGTCCTGTTTTCACTCAATAATATGTTATGGACATATGTCCAATTAATAAATATGGATTTATATTATTATTCTAAATGGCTTCCTAGGGGGCTTCCCTGGTGGCGCAGTGGTTGGGAGTCCGTCTGCTGATGCAGGGGACGCAGGTTCGTGCCCCGGTCCGGGAAGATCCCACATGCCGCGGAGCAACTGGGCCCGTGAGCCGTGGCCGCTGAGCCTGCGCGTCCGGAGCCTGTGCTCTGCGGCGGGGGAGGCCACAACAGTGAGAGGCCTGCGTGCCGCAGAAAGGAAAGGAAGGAAAAAATAAATAAATAAATAAATAAATAAATAAATAAATGGCTTCCTAGTAATCTATTGTATGGAATACCAGAATTTATTTAACGCTACAGATAGTCATTGAAGTCATTTTCAGATTATTTTGTTTTATACAATACTGTATAAAGCAACCTTATATATAGATCATTGTTCACTTGTTTAATTTCCTTCCTAGGATAAATCACTATAAATGAATTACTAGATCAAAGGGTTTTACCATTATAATTTTGTCCCATATTGGTAAACTGCCTCCCAAAATGCCTATATGAATTTGCACTCCCACCGGCAGTGCATAAATTATGCCCATTTCCCTATATCCTTGTTAACACTAGGTTCTGCCAATCTTTTTAACCTTTGCCAGTCTGAAAAATTTCAATTCTCTTGAAAAATGGTATCTCAATTTTGTTTCTATCTGTAGTTCCAGTATTACTAATGAGGTGGAAAATATTTTCAAGTATTTATTTCCGTTTGTGATCCTTCTTTTGTTAATTGCCTTTTTAGGCCATTGTTATTTGACTATTTTTCTAATTCAGGTGTTTCCTATTGACTTTTAAAAACTCTTTGTTTATTAGGAAGCTTTTAAAAAATATATTTATTTATTTGGTTGCACCATACCAGTTGCAGCAGGCAGGCTCCTTAGTTGCAGCTCACTGGCTCCTTAGTTGTGGCACGCGTGTGGGATCTAGTTTCCTGGTCAGGGATCGAACCCAGGCCCCCTGCACTGGGAGCGTGGAGTCTTAACCACTGTGCCACCAGGGAAGTCCCTGTTTATTAGGAATTTTAACTCTTTGTCATGTATGTGACAGATATCTTCCTCCACTTCATTGGTTGTCTTTAACCTTGTGTGTGGTATTTTATTGCCACATATGAAGTTTTAAGTTTATAAAGTCAAATCTTGACTTGATTTTACTGGACGGATTTTTTAAAAACTTTTATAACATACTTAGAAAGTCTTCCGGTTCCAGGATTATTAAAACATTCCCTTGTTTTTTTCTTCCAATGCTTTTATTGTTTCTTTTATCACATGTACATCTTTGATCTAAGAGGTGGAATTTAGACTTAGGGAGGGAGATGGAGCTCCAACTTAATTTTTCTCCAAATGGCTACCCAGTGGTCCCGTTCCGTTTATTGACTTCCGTCTTTTCTCCACCAATATGAAATGTTACCTTTATTGTACACTGTAATTCCTTATACACTTGGCTCTATTTCTGTACTCTGTTCAGTTTAATAGGTCTGTCAGTTCCTTTGTCAAAACTGTACTGTTTTAGTTGGTGTAGCTACCTAATGCATTTTAGTATCTGGTAGAACAAGTCCCAACTCATTCATCTTCAAACTTCTTTTGGCAGTATGGCGGAGTGGTTAAATTCGCAGAGTTTGGGTTCGTTCAGCCAGCCTGAGCTTTAATCCCAGGTCAGCCACCTGCTAGCTGTGTAATCTTGGGCAAGTTATTTTTTTCTCTCTGAACCTCTGCTTCCTCATCTGTTTAAAGTTAATAGTAACCGTATCTACCTTACAGTGTTTTTGTGAAGATGAGATGAAATGATGCATAGGAAGTCCTTGGGCCAGAGTCTGGCACATGGCAAGTTGTCAGTAAATGTTCAGTCTTTTTGTTATGAAAACGATGCATCTATTTTTCCAGTTGAATTTTAGGATCACTTTGACAATAAAATCTCACTGGGATCTTGATTGGGATGCCATTTACTGGATAGGCTAATTTTGAGATAATGAATATCCACGTTATAGGGTCTTCCAGCCTGAGGCAAGCTGTGCTCTTCATTGGTCCAAGACTTTATGCTCCTTGGTGGAGTTTATAGTTTTCTTTATATAAGATGTGTGATTTTATATTAACTTTATTTCCAGATGGTGTAAGTTTTGTTGTTGTTGTGAATGTGACTTTCTTAGTACATAAGAAAGTTATTCATTTTTTTAAATTGAGATATAATTGACATATAACATTATATTAGTTTAGGGTGTACAACATATTGATTCTGTATTTGTGTATATTGTAAAATGATCACCACAATAAGTCTAGTTAACATCTAGCACCATATGGAGTTGTACATTTTTTTTCTTGTGATGAGAACTTTTAAGGTCTACTCTCTTAGCAACTTTCAAATATGCAATACAGTAATATTAACTATAGTCACCACGCCGTACATTACATCCCCAGAACTTATTTTATAACTGGAAGTTTGTACCTTTGACCACCTTTACCCATCTTGTCCACACCCCCGCCTCTGGCAACCACCAGTCTGTTCTCTGTATCTACTCATTTTTTTTTTTTTTTTTTTTCGGTACGCGGGCCTCTCGCTGTTGTGGCCTCTCCCGTTGCGGAGCACAGGCTGTGGAAGCGCAGGCTCAGCGGCCATGGCTCACGGGCCCAGCAGCTCCACGGCATGTGGGATCTTCCTGGACAGGGGCACGAACCCGTGTCCCCTGCATCGGCAGGCGGACTCTCAACTGCTGCGCCACCAAGGAAGCCCTATAATTGTTGATTTGGGAAATAATTTCTCCTCTACATAGTGTCAGCTTTGAGATATCCCCTTCCCTCAGCTCCAGGAGCACCCCAGGTTTCTATCACTAGGGCACCTCCCATATTGACTTGCCATCACTTGAAATCCATCTGTATGATGCAGGAACTGTGTCTAATTGGACCGTTAGTCCCCAGGGCTCAGCACAGGGCTTGTATCAGTACTAACTTATCATTGCCAATTAAAGAAGGTGCCCCATGCTGTACTACTGTTTTCTGGGATAGAAGAGCCTCTCTTCTAGGACAGAGGGCAGGATGGTAAATAGGCCCACAGTCCCTGACCTTATCTGGCTGACAGTCTAATTGGGGAGCAGACATTGAGGAAGTCATTATTAATGTCAAGAGTGAATTATATTTTTCCTCATTACATTTTGAAGGAAGCTTTGGATGCTATGGGAGTGTAAAGGACTTAGTGAGTATAGGGCAGCAGAAGGCCTTGCCGAAGAAATATTCAAGGAGGAGTCTGGGGCGACTGCACCCGTCTTGCTCCCCCTCCACTGCAGACCAGTGTTAGCACCCAGTCCTGCTTGAACGTATCCGTTCAGCAAACAAAGAGCATCTGCTCTGTGTCAGGCTCTGTGCTGTTGGGTCTGGGACCACAGAGTTGGGTAAGAGCCAGTATCTGAGCTCAAATCAGAGTTCTGTTGATTCCTGGTAGTTACAGGAGGCAATCAAAACTCCTCAGCCTGGAGATCTACCTCCTGTCCCTCCCTTATGCCCCTACTAGGCCCCAGCCCACCTTTCTGCCCTTGGGTCCTCCTGCCCCACTGGACTGCTGACCCCTCCCCAACTGAACACACTTGTACTTTCATGCACACGTGGAGGCTGTCATCCCCTTCCCCCATCATACTCACTGTCACTTCTACCTAGAACTCCCCTGAGCCACTCCTCTTTCCTCTGGGCCTTCAAGAACCAGGGAATCACCAGCTCTGTGAAGTCTGCCTTCCCAGCGTTTGTTACTTCATCCTTGTCCAAAATTGATGGTGGGTCTTAAGAATGTGTATAGTTATTTGTTTCCACGTCTGTGATCCCATTAGACCAGGGCGCCCTCAGGGTCAGTGACCTTGACTTTGTCTCTTTGGTGGGAACTAGGATGCAGTGGATAACTTAGGAACTGCAATTAAAATAGGGTAAAGAAATGCAACTTCTGTAATTGAAGGGGAAGGATACAGAAGTTAGAGAAGCGATGGGGTTACTTAGCTTAGAGCAGTGGTTCTGAACCTAGGGCTCCGGGATCATAGGAGCAAGGTGAAAAAGAGTGTGAGGTATGTGCAAAGTTAGGTTACTTGGGTGTCAATCCTGGCTCTGGCATATAGTAGCTCCACAAGTTGGGACAAGTGGTTTTATTTCTCTGAGACTTTGAGAAAAGGGGGAGTACTACTGTTACTAGCATTACTATATTGGCTTCAGAGGGTCTGGGCACACCCTGAAATGCTCTAAAGAATTTTGTATAAATAGGTGTAAGTAAAGTTTGTCCAGAAAGAGGGTCCCTTGATTTTCAGCAGCTTTCACAGAATGTACAAACTAAGCAGAAGGGAGGCACTGTCTTTCTCAGTTGTCTAGTGCTGTGTAACAGATTACCTGAGAACTTAGTGACTTAAAACAGTAAACATTATCCCACACGGTTCCCAGGAGCAGCATATTTGGGTGATTCTGGCTCTGGATCTCTTATGAGGTTGATCTCTCAAGATGGTAGCCAGGGCTGAAGTCATCTGAAAGCTTGTGTGGGGCTACTGGCCGTGTAGACCTCACCTCTCCATATGGCTGCTTGAGTGTCCTCACCACAGGGTGCCTGGCCTTCCCCAGAGCCTGTGATCTAAGAGAACAAGGCAGTGTCTTTTATGACCTAGCCCCAGAAGCCACACATGGTCATTTGCAAAACATCCTATTGGTTCCATAGTTCAGCCCTATTCAAAGTGGGAGGGGACTAAAAAGGATATGAATGTCAGGGCTGGGAATCATGGGGGGGGCGGGGGGGGCATTTTGGAGGCTGGCTACCACAGTGCCTTAGAAGGAATTTGGAATGAGGAGTTTTAAGTTTAAATCTCGACTCCAACAACAACTAATTGTGTGATCTTGGGGAAAGCTCCTTTGCTTTACTGGCCCTGCCAATTTTCTTACTCAGCTCACATGGTGGGTTGTGATATTCAAGAGTTAAAGCCTGTGAAAGCCATTTATTCAAACCCTCAACTTCACATTCAGTTATTAGCAATCATTAAAGAGGAGGGGGAACAAAAGCCACTTGAGGCAGTGTGTAAGTTAATGTTTTCAGTATAAAAAATTGAAAATGAAGAAACAACCCAATTTCATCAAATTAGCACCACTCTTAAAATTTTGGTGTTTAAATGCACTTTAAAGTTTCTTTTCCTTCTTCACAGAGAAGGAATAGAGGAAATGTCTTAAATTGAGATGAGAAAGATTTATGGGAGATGAGAAAGATTTATGGTAGATGAGTATATTTCTTTAGTATTAAGAGATACTGAAAATTGGGATGGGCTCCTTAATGGGGTCCTGAAATCTCCACGTGAAAACCTTAAAGAATCAGGCAGAGGGCTTTTATTATCTATACTTTTAGTAAAAACTAGCTCAGGTCATCCTTTGAGGCCATTTGGGAGGGGACACCACAAATCTTTTTTTTTTTTTTTTTTTGCGGTACACGGGCCTCTCACTGTTGTGGCCTCTCCCGTTGCGGAGCACAGGCTCCGGACACGCAGGCTCAGTGGCCATGGTTCACGGGCCCATCTTCCCAGACCGGGGCACGAACCCGTGTCCCCTGCATCGGCAGGCGGACTCTCAACCACTGCGCCATCCGGGAAGCCCCCCACAAATCTTCTTAAGTAAAATGAAAAGAAGTATTATTAAAGGTGTTCTCATACTGTTAAGCATTAAAATCTTTATTTTTTTCATCATACTCAAATGAGTATGAGTAGCACATACTCATTCTAGAAGATTTGGAAACTACAGACAAGTGTAAAGAAGTGAAAAACATTATATCTGCCACCTTAATCTAAGCACTTTGTTTTGTGGTTTAGATGAAAAATAATTTTTTTCAATTAAAATAATGTGGGCTTCCCTGGTGGCGCAGTGGTTGAGAGTCCGCCTGCCGATGCAGGGGACACGGGTTCGTGCCCTGGTCCGGGAAGATCCCACATGCCGCGGAGCGGCTGGGCCCGTGAGCCATGGCCGCTGAGCCTGCGCGTCCGGAGGCTGTGCTCCACAAGGGGAGAGACCACAACAGTGAGAGGCCCGCGTACCACAAAAAAAAAAAAAAAAAAAAGTAATACTTTGTAGGAAACACCCTCCCCCCAAATTGGCTGTAGTCTCACAAGCCAGAAGTAACCATTATTAACATTTTGGTGGCGTAAAATGGGATTTAAACACGTTTTCAGCCTCATGGGAGACTGAAAAAACAGGAATGGATTTAAGTGATGGTGAATGGCAGGTAAGCTGAGTTAGGGCTGCCCATCACGTGGGCAGATTCTGTGCCTAATGACCACAGTGAGGTGAGGAGGTCTCCATCTCTAAGCATCTTTACAACTTGCATAGGTCTGTTTGGGTGAATCATGCCTCACTGTTTACCAATTCTGCCTGGGCAGGTTCCAAATACTGGATAGGGCTTATTCCATGGGAAATTTGTAGTTAGGGACTTTGTCCAATAAAGTAATTATTGAGTAAGGTCATCCAGATTGAGTGCCTACCATGTGCCAAGACTGTGCCAGATGTTGGGGGTGTGATAATGACCTCAAAAAGATGCTAACAAGAGCAGACAATAGACCAGAAATCATACAAGGAAATGAGATGTGGGAGGTACCAGGAGAGGTGCACATTTGTGGATCATCTGCTATGCTGGAAGTTTAGCAGATGTGATCTCACTGGGACCTGAGGGAGGTAATTTGACCTCTCTGAACCTCAACTTCATTTGAAAATGGGGACAGAGTCACTGGGAGAGAACATTCGTTAGTGTGGCAAACTCTGTTTCAGGGTTCACTGAAGGTTCACTGAAGTATAAAAATGAGACACTTTTTACACTTCAGACTCTAAACCTTCTCGGTGGCAAAGACAGCTGGCCTTTAGTGAGTCTACTGTGTTCAAGGTGTTTCACAAAGGTCCCATTTAATCCCAATTCCACCTTTTGAGTTTATGTACCCCATTGTCTAAATTGATGGCTCTGAGTCAATGGGAGTTTTCATAACTTGACCAAGACCACACAGCTGGAGAATGACTGCAAGAAGATTTAAACCCAGGCCTGCTGAAGTCCAAAGCCAGTGGCAATACATTATCTCATAGTGAGGTTCCAGGGGTGTATGTGTCCTTTTGGAAATGCTTGGGTCTGCTGGTGGTGTGTTTGTTATTCAGATTCCTGAATGTGTGCTTTGCTCATAACTGTGCAGTTTGAAAACACTGACTCACCCCCAAACAGGGCAGGGTTGGATATCAGTCCCGTTTATCTTATACTGTCCTGTGGCACCTGTGTTGACTTCAAAGAAATTCTGTAATAAAAGCACTGTGATTAAAAACAGAAAAACACACACCAAAAAAAGGTATAGGTTTGTTTTTGGTGCTTGTGACAAGAGAATACACTCATGAGTGTCATTAACTTAAAAAATGACAGCTATTTAAGGTTTAGTGACTAAAGCCAATTTTCTAACACACATCTTGTATAGTCCTCTGAACATACTCTTTTCCCACTTAACTATGATGTTGTCATTAGTTTCCGTTTGATCCTGCAAGGGCAGAGACCTTGAACATTCACATCTGGATTCCCCCATGGCTTGACCCAACTGACAGCCAGGCAGAATTGACCGAAAAACTTAAAGGCGTTTCCACGGTGCCTTGCCTACATTAGCTTTCTTTTGCTACTGTAAAAAGTTACCAGATTTAGTGGCTTAAAACCTTCTGTCTCACACTTTCTATGGGTCAGAAGTCTGGACTGTGTGGCTTAGCTGGTTCTTGGATACAGCTAAAATCAAGGTGTTAGTAGGACTGGACTCCTCTCTGCAGATTCCGGGGTTGGGGTGGGGAGAACCTGCTTCCAAGCTCAGTCAGGTTGTGAAAGCTCAGTCCCATGAGGCCGCAGGACTGAGGTCCCATTACTTGCTGACAGGGCTTGTTCTCAGCTTCTAAAGGCTGCCTACGTTCCCTGGCTCATGGCCCCTTCATCAACAGTGGGTTGAGTTCCTCTCAAGCTTCGAATCGGATTCTTCTCCTGCCTCTTCTCTCCAAAGCATCTCTTTTGCATTCCTCTTCTGCTTTTTAAGGGTCCATGTGATTACACTGGGTCCACCCTGATAATCCAGGATAATCTCCCTATTTTATGGTCCTTAATTCCATCTGCAATGTCCCTTTTGCCATGGAATGTAACATATTCACAGGTTCCAGGGACTAGGGCATAGATAGTTTTAATTTTTTGGGGGGGAGGGGGCGAGGAGGACGTTATTCTGCCAACCACAGTGCCTGTACTAAACATGTAAATTTTAGAATTAATCTTCTCTAGTTGACTCCTTGGAGGTCAGAGGGGGATGAAGCTACTCAAGAAGAAAACATTTGAAACAAGCCAAATGACTTGTCAAAGGTCACTGCGTCTGCTGTAGATTAAACCACCATCACCACCACCACCCCTTTGTGAAAAATCAGGTCAAACAATTTTTTGGTCGTGGAGGTGGGGTTCTTCCTTTCCCCCTATTGGGGTGAAGTTAGAAGCGGACAGAAGATTTAAAAAACATGCCTATTTCACCTTCTACAGTCTATTCACTTTGCAGGGTTTTGTTTATTGGATGTGCAAGTCTTCTGTGTGACGAGTGTTAGAAGCAGGAGCACTGAACTCCATGATGTTAGGCTTTGGCAGCACGTGTTGATCTTCCCTAAGCACTGCGCTAACACCAGTGAGTGGAGGGTATGCTTCCTCACCCTGGGATAACTTTCAAATGTGGCCATTGACCCTTCCTCCCTAATTTTAAAGAAGTGGTCACTATCCAGTTTAGGACTGATTCTAGGAATGTTTCTGGACGTTGACTGGTTCAACAAATAGGCACAGAAAACCTGTGTGTTGGGTACTCTGAACATCATTTCATTTCATGCTCTGCAACCAAGGCTCAGAGAGGGTAAGTACGGTGCCCACTGCCCCTCAGCTGGTACCAATTATTAAACACTTGCTATATGTCAGGAGCCAAATTATATGGACCTAATGTCATGGTCCCCCTTCACACCCTCTTCCAACCTGCCAGGTGTTTTATGTTGATTTTAATCTCAATAATGCTGTGAGGTATTAGGCTGATAGCCATGGAGTGGCTTAGCCAGAATTCCGGTCTAGGTCCGTTTGACTCCAGGTTCTGTGTTCCCTTCAGGATATTGCCTCTAAAAAGGCCTCAGGTGCATTCTGGTAAGTATGTCCCCAAAGTCCAAGTTCTTCACACAACCCGTAATCGTATCACCAAGTTCACCAGGTGGCATGAACGCTGTAGGCTGCGTGTGCAGCTTCTGCAAATAAAGCTTCTGCAAACACATAGCGGCATGAAAGCACAGGAGGAAATGGAGAACTGTCTAGGTTCATCAATCGTGAAATAACCGTTTTACTGGTATGAGTATCTTTTTGTCTCATTATTATGCGGCAGTGAGTCATTTAGGGGAGGACCAAAAGGGAAAGTCCTGTCTCTTGTTACCTACAAGAAGTGTCAGTGAAAACCGCTCAGGCGGAGAGAGGCACAAAGTGGGCGCTGGAAGTCGAGCTACCACTTCTCGATCCCCCCCGCTTTACCCGCGTGGCGGCCCCAAGGCGAGAAGCGCCGAAGGGGTTAAACACAGCTCACGGTAGTGGGGCACAGGGCCACCGCCCCTTCCCAGCATCGCCTCCCAGAATGCCTCAGGCCCCCAGCCAGTTCCCGCACCTCGCGAGACTCCGCCCAGCCCCTTTCCCGAACGACTGTCCGGCCCCCTTCCTTACCGAGCTCTGCGCGGGGCAGAGGAAGGGAGGGGAGGGCGGAAAAGACGGGCCGCGGGGCACGCTGGGAAGTGTGGTCCAAGAGTTTCACTCAGCCATATTCTTCCGGAGCGGGGGAGGCCAGAGAGGCAGCCGGGACTACGACTCCCAGCCGCCCTTTCGGTTTGTTTTTGTTCAAAAAAAAAAAAACCCCACACTCCCCCTCCTCACTCTTCACACACACTCACACACACCCACGGCAGACACGCACACACCCGGGCGCCGAAGGGAAAGCCGCGTCTCGCTTTCCCGCCCCGCCGCCAGTCCGGTCTTGGCCTCGCAGTAGAGCGGGAAAGCGGAGGCCGGAGCCGTGACCTCTGACCCCGTGGTTATGCGGAGCCGCCGCATTCCTTAGCGATCGCGGGGCTACCTCCTTCTCCTTCGCCGCTGCCGCCGCCGCCGCCGCCGCCGCCGCCGCCGCGGGCGACTGACGCAGCGCGGGCGCGTGGAGCCGCCACCCCTCCCCCACCGCCGCCCTCGCGCCGGGTCTAGCGCCAGCCGGTCCCCGCGCGCCCGCCCCCTCTCCCCGGCCGCACCCGAGTTCTCGCGCGCCGCCGCCGCCACGCGCCCCCCC